ACTCTGTTATCTCCCCACGTACTGGGGGCTTGCAATCCACACTCTTAAAAGAATCAGCAGCTCCGACAGCGCCACATGATCAAACAATTCTCTTCCTGCTCAGCTCCGTGAAGCACACAGCTGCTCCGCTAGATACTGGAATTCCTGCTGGCTCCTGTTTAAACTTTACAGCGGTTTCCTCTCCTCAGGCTCCGCTGCAGCTCTTCACGGACCCTGTGCACCGCTCACATGCTTCTTCCACCTCTTTACTCAGCAATCAGCTGTTCAGGCTTTCTCTCCCTCCTGTTAAATTATCAGCAGTTGCTACTGGAGCTCAGGTCCTCTCCGATCTGCCACCGACCCAACCGCAAGGACTACAAGCTCCCACCCCTGTCTGAAGCACACCCACTTTCTGCTCGGCTATCCAATCAGAGAAAGAACTCTCCAGGGACGAACAGTTTAATCTCTCTAACTGTACAAGCGCAGTCTTGCCAACCAGCACTCAGCTCCCAGAGAAAATAAGGACTGCAAACGTACAATAATATGCCGTCAACTAACACACACTGCCGTGGGATAGACTCTAACCTAACACCGACGTGGACTGAGAATATTAAAATTCTGGGGTCATACTTGAGTAAATTCAACCAAACTACATAGATGGCACGGCAATTAACTGGAGAATAATTGCAGGCATAGAGATTGTCCAATTTTTTAAAATGGCACACTACAGTCAAGAAAGCACACCAACACCTCTACTTCCTCAGAAGGCTAAGGAAATTTGGCATGTCCACAATAACTCTTACCCACTTCTGTACCTGCACCATAGAAAGCATTCTATCCGGATGTATCTCGGCTTGGTACAGCAACTGCTCTGCCCAGGACCGTAAGAAATTGCAGAGAGTTGTGAACGCAGCCCAGTCCATCACACAAACCAACCTCCCATCCATTGACTCCATCTAAACTTCCCACTGCCTCGGGTCCCACCCCAGTTATACTCTCTTCCACCCTCTTTGTTTTGAAAACACGTACAGACTGATTCAAGAAAAGCTTCTTCCCCTCTGAAATTAGACTTTTGAACAGACCTCTCACACATTAAACTTGATCTTTCCCTGTAGCTGTAACACTATATTCTGCATTCTGTTCTATTACCCTGGTGTACCTATGTAAAATCTGATTTGTCTGAGCAGCATGCAAAACAATACTTTTCACTGTAACTCGGTACATGTAACAATAATAAATCAAATCAAATGAAATACCAGTTCTGAAGAAGTCATACAGACTCGAAACATTGACTGTTTCTCTCTGCCCAAGGGCCACACCTGCTAAGTTTCACTAGCACGTTTCGTGTGGTATTTCAGATTCCCGGCATCCACTGTATGCTCAATTGCTTAAGTCTGAATGGCCAACACATGGAACAGTTCTTAGGAGGTTTTCCTTTAAACCAAATTCTGGACTAACTCAGGGCAACTTCAGATTTTTTTTGTCATCTCAAACAAGGAATAAAATTTCGTTCACTCACAAACTAGCAAGTGGAAGCTTATAGCCACAGAGCTCAATCCCAAGGGTCAAATCTCCAAGACCCAGAGGCAGAGGCACAAGATGTTAAAAGACCTCATGTAAGACTCCAAGATCAGCTGATGCATCTTCAATTGCTACATTCCACCAACTGTAACTTGACAGCGGGCCACCAATTTTCCACAATTCAACACAGCCCCATTGTTAGCCGTCCCTTGCTTTGAACGTGACGTCTATCAGATACATTGGGCCTTTGGTCTTAGTTTGACTGAGCCAGTATTCATTACCTGACCAACAGATCTTTGAGCACATGGGGCGGGATATCCCATGGGTAAGTGGGAACTTGAGATCAAAATGTGCCTCACCCAGAGTTGCTACAGTGTGAAGAGAGGCCGGTCAGCACATCAAGTCTGCAGCAATCCTCCAAACAGCACCCCACCCAAACCCCATAACCCCGCATATCCCATGGCTAATCTATTGAGCCTGCACATCCCAAGGCACTAAGGCCAATTTAGCATGGCCAGTCCACCTAACCTACATACCTTTGGACTGTGGGAGGAAAATGGAGCACCTGGAGGAAACATACGCAGACACAGGGAGAACATGCAAAGTCCACACAGTCAGTCACCTAAGGGTGGAATCGAACCCGGGGTCCCTGGTGCTGTGAGGCAGTAGTGCTAACAACTGAGCCACCGTGCTGCCCACATTTTTGGCAAAATAACAATTCCTTTTCTTTCCTTCTTTGTCACGTCTCCACATCATCTTGTTTGGATTCAAAGCATGATGCAGCTTAATGGATAAGTTTTTATTTAATTCATTCAGGACATGTGGGCATCACTGGCTAGGTCAGCATTCATTACACATCCAAAATTGCCCTGGAGGAGGTGGTGGTGAGCTGCTTTCTTGAACCTATGCAGTTGATGGGTGTAGGAACACCCACAGTGCAGTTAGGGAGGAACTTCCAGTCTTTGAACCAGCTGCAGTGAAGGAACAGTGATTTCATTCCAAGTCAGGATAGCACTGGACTTGCATTGGAACTTGCATGTGGTGTCTGTTCCCACGTATCTGCAGCCCTTATCCATAAAACAATAAGACATAGGAGTGGAAGTCAGTTATTCAGCCCATTGAGTCTTCTTTGTCATTCAATGAGATTATGGTTGATCTGATAATCTTTAAATCCACTTTCCCGCCTTTTGTCCAAACCCTTGATTCCCTTACTGATTAAACATCTGTCTATGTCAGCTTTGAAAATATTCAACGACCCAGCTTCAAAAGTCCTCTGTGGTAAAGAATTCCACAGATTCACTCCCCTCAAAGAAGAATTTCCTAATTCTGTTCTTAAACGTGAACCCTTTACTCTGAGATTAAATTCTGTGTTCCTGGACTCTTCCATAAGGGAGAGAACAATCATTTCTCCAATCTAGCCCGGTCTAGAATCTTGAATGTTTCATTAAGGTCGTCAAACTCCAACAAGTACAGGCCAAACCTACCCAATCTCTACTCACGAGAGAATCCCTCCGTACCCAGGATCAACCTAGTGAAACTTTCTCCGGAATTTAGCATTGGAGGAACCTCAGCTCTTGACTTGCTCCCTGTGTGGATGGGAAAAAGGACTGTAGGGGGGATGGACAAACTGACCAGCACACTATAGTACAGGAGGCCATCCAAGTGAGGGGAGCATAAAGAAAACTGGTCGTGATAGGGAATTCTACAAATTAGAGGGATAGACAGCATCCGTTGTAAGCAGAATTGGGTTTCCCAGTGGTGTACTAGCTGTCAGGTCCCAGGGTAAGGGTCATCTCAAACCAACTTGAAAGGATATTGGAGTGGGAGGGGGAGAGAGAGGATCCGATTGTTGTGGTCCATGGTGGGACAAACAACATAGGCAAGAGTAGGCAAGAGGTCCCATTTGGGGAACATCAGGAATTAGGAACAAAACTAAAGAACAGGAGCTCAGGATTATAATCTCTGGATTATTACCCGAGCCACAAGCAAATCGGCATAGAGAAAAGAAAATTAAGGTAGTAAATGCGTGGCAAAAGCAATGGTCTGGTAAAGACGGGGTCCATTTTCTGGGGCACCAGCAAGGACTATGCCAGTGGGACAGGCTCCATCTGAACTGATCTGGAATCAGGATCCATGTAGAAATGCTCAATGGGGTGGTCACAGGGACTTCAAATTAGTTAAAGGAGGGGAGAGCGATGGCCTAGTGGTACTATCGCTGGATAGTTAATCCAGAGACCCGGACAACGTTCTGGGGACCTGGGTTTGAATCCCGCCACGGCAGATGGTGGAATTTAAATTCAATAAATATCTGGAATTAAGAATCTAATGATGACTGTGAATCTATTGTTGATTGTTGGGGAAAAACCCATCTGGTTCATTAATGTCCTTTAAGGAAGAAAACTTAGCTAAATGTGACTCCAGACCCACAGCAATGTGGTTGACTCTGGGCAACTAAGGTTGGGCAATAAATGCTGCCTAGCCAGCGACGCCCTCATCCCATAAACGAATAAAGAAAAAAAAAAAGACGTCATTGAAGTTTCTAGAACAAGTAATAGGGCAGGGATTATGGAAAGTGTCAGGAATCTAAATTCAGGCACAGCAGATAAGGGACAACTATAAGAAGGGAAGGGTGGGAGGGCTCAGACAGTGCAGGACGAAGGGTGTTGTACTTAAATGCACACAGTATACAAAACAAGATAAATTAGCTTGTTGCGCAGGTTGAAATCGGTAGGTATGATGTTGTGGGTATCACGGAGTCGCTGCAAGGGGATCAGGGCTGGGAACTAAATATCCAAGGATACACATCCCATGAAAACGCCAGCAGATGGGCAGAGGTCGTGGGGTTGCCTTATCCTTATGAAATGAAATTAAACTGATAGCAGGAAGTGATATAGGGTCAGAAGGCATAGAATCTGTGTGAATAGAGTTGAGAAACCACAAAGGAGAAAAGACTATGATGGGAGTGATGTAGAGGCCTCTGAGCAGTAGTCAGGATGTGGGGCAGAAAATAAATCAGGAGATAGAAAAGGTATGTAAGAAAGACACTATTACAATAATCAGGGGGAACGTCAATATGTAAGTGGACTGGGACAAGAAAAGGAATTCATGGATGTCTGAGAGATAGTGTTTTGGAGCCGAACTGGGGAACAAGCAATTTTGAATCTGGTGATATATAATGAGGTAGACTTGATTAGGGAGCTTAAGGTGAAGGAAACCCTTGGGGGCTGTGACCATAATATGACAGAATTTACACTGCAATTTGAAAAGGAGAAGCTGGAGTCAGATGTACAATTGAATAAACATAACTACAAAGACATGAGAGAGGAGCTGACCAGAGCTGATTAGAAGAGAAGCCTGGCAGGGACGACAGAGT